TCAATAGTGATCCTCCTCTTATCTGAATCTGATTCATCTATCTAACCTTCTGCAACATCAAATCCTACCTTCAGCCAACTACGTGCCAAGCCATTTTCCTTCTCCTATACATAATCCTATCCCTAGTCAAGTCATACCACCAAAGCCTCTTTTGTTCTGCTTATGAATCACTGTCACTATAGAAAGTGAGAAGATGGGCAAGCTTACAGTAGTTTGAGTGCAGTGGAGATTGAGTGATGAGTACACCCTTAGACACTAGAGTGCAAGAGAGTTTATTCTCAGAATTTTTGAGAAGTTCCGAGTGAGGGGGTGTTTTGTGTTGAAGGTCTCTGCATTTCATCTTACTGATCTGTTGAAAGTCATGTGATGAGGTTAAGCAAGTCATAGTAAAAGATAGGTTGCTGGGTTTTTAGATTGTATCTTGGAAAGTTGATATGTCATATTTCAATCCATCCTCATAAATTTCATGTGTAAAGAATCTCAAGTCTTTCTCTGTCTTTAAAGTTATTACTGAGGACAACAATATTCAAATCTGGGAATTGTGATGAACCCTTAGTTCATCATGGTTTTTAGCAGGAATTAGGATCAAATTGTGTGATTAAATGATGAAAAATAAGGTTAATGTCCTAAGATGTCCTCAATTACAAGTTCAAGAGCTTTATTGGAAATTTTTATGATTCTTGTAGGAAAAGTTCTTGTAGGAAAAGCAAGCTTGAAAGGCAACTGGAGAAGGAAGAAGATTCTGGAGCTCAAGAGGAGAAAAATTGCCTAAGTGTTGAGCGCTAAAACGTCCACACTGAGCGTTTTAGCGCCTTGCTACAGGAAGAGGCCAAAACTTGCTGGTGATGAGCGCTAAAACGCCCACACAGAGCGTTTTAGCGTGCTGCTGCACTTAGAAGATGGAAAATTGCTGGTCTTGGGCGCTAAAATGGCCTGCAATAAGCGTTTTAGCGCCCTGAAGTGGAAAAAGGACTCTGGTCTCCACCGCTAAAACGTCCAAATCAAGAGTTTTAGCGTTGGAGTCAGTTAAAGTCAGTTGAGCATCCATCAAGTTTGGACGCTAAAACGGTCATTCCTTAACGTTTTAGCGTTGCAGTCAGTTAAAAGCAGTTGAGCATACGTAAAGCATGGACGCTAAAACGGTCACTTATGGACGTTTTAGCGCCCACATCAGTTTTCTGTTTTTAATTGTAACACTATAAAAGGCAAAGCCTTTACACTTAGTAAAAATCTGGATCTGAAGGGATCTGAGATATTCTCTCTCTCTCTTAAACTTTAGTCTGACTTCTCTCTAAATTCTCTTAGTGTTTTAGTTTTTGTAGTAGGATTTCTTTGTAATAGTTTGGAGATTGAAGACTTTCAACATGGAAATGAAGTTTGATTCTTCTTCTCTTGTCTATTCCTTAGTCATGTCTGAGTAGAGTCTTTGTAGTCTGAATGCAATAGAACTCCATGATAATATCATGTTGATCTGATTAATATGATGAAGTATTTTTCATGTGTTGATTTGAGATTTTCTGATTTAATTATTTCTATCAAGGAAGTAGTGTAGAACAGGGATGTTTATCTGATAATCTCAACATCAGAATTCTAGTACTCAAGGGATTGATGCTAGAGTTCTGATGTAATCTTAAGACTTTAGTATGTCATGCATGTATTAAGAAAGAGATCACCAAGGGATTGGGGTTTCTGATTAATGTATCTATCAGGGTAGTAAGGGATTACATCTTGATGATAAGTAAAAGGTTGATTAACATCACATGGAAAAGAATTCATCATATGATCAGTTTTTACATGGGTTAATATGGAGGAAAGTTGTTTTCTGACTACTTGTTGTTTTATTAAGTCTTAATCCATATTTATTTTTTGTCAAATTACTTACAATCAATATTCTGGTGACAAATTATTCATGACTTTTACAAATTCTTATCTGATTCAAATTAGTTTTCTATGGTTTATTGGTGCTTGAACACAATTCCTCGTGGGAACGATCTTTACTCATCATTTTATTACTTGTACGACTAGTGCACTTGCTAAACGTCCAACAGATGTTGAGTCTGTATTTCCATTACTAACATGGCTACCAGCAGCATGTTTCACTCAATTTGGATCTGATCAGTTTGATATAACAGCCAAGACATGATGGACAGAGGCATACCCAGATTCATAAATCTGTCTGAAATTGAATCAGTCCAAGGGAGATAACAAAACAAAAGAATCAGAAGCCTCAAAGGCTCTGAAGTAGTTTGAAGGTGTCATCAATATGCTTTTCTGGTTGGCAAAGGCCTACATTCCATGCATTCCATTCAGTATAGAAATAATATTGTCAAGTTCAAGGGGAAAAAATTATAAAATGCAGTGAAATTAATTTGATGCTTATTACATTCCTCTTCATACTCAACATATGTCAATGCTCACATTCACAACACAACTATGAAAATCATTCACAACTACTTGACTTTAATAAGTTAATATAGTTGTCATACATACAATGGACTGCACTTAACAAATGTGATTAATAATATTGTGGCCATCATCATATTCATTACACCATGACTGCAGATGACAGTCAAATATACTATAACATTCATCACTGTCCCCAAACCCAAAGTTGAATTTATAAGAAGCTGAGAAATCTTCGAAGACCATTGGACAACCAAGTTTCGATCTAAGGAAGTCAAATTCAGCCTATCTGATGCAATCCTCATCATCCTTGAAAGGAAGCACTCCGATTTCCTCCACTTTGTTTGACTATGGTGCCCATGTAGCAGCACCAAAACACTGTCAAACACAGCTATACAAAAAATAATGGGTGATCATTTGAGTTAGTGTACAAATTATATGAGTCATATCATCCAATTCGACAAATAATTTAAAAGCTATGTAACTATATAAATTTCAATCGACCAAGCTATTTAAATACAACCATTCTAACATCATGGTCTGAACATATTATGTTGCTGCTGGACCACAATCAAGGATGTCCACTTTTCATGTAATGACCGACAACCAACAACTTGACATTATGTTACAAGCATACCTGTGCAAAATATCTGTGGAGCAACTTTAAGCATGACAAACAAGATGTCAAACCACGAGTGAAGAAAAGATCAATTAACTGAAATGGAAACTTTTATTAAATAACTGTATGTGCAAGCAAAAATGATGTGAGGGTCATAAGCAGTACAACAAGCAAATGAAACAATAATCCCCAATTGGTTAAGTCATACCATACCTGTGCAAGTTGTAAGTAGTGATATTGAAACACATACATATAGTCACCATACATACCCAATGCTATTACTCAAAATTGAACACATGAACTTCAACATTGATCTGACATTTCCCCCATGACACACTAAAAAGTGTATAGCCTTCTGACTTGCATAGGGAATGCATCATCAGACACAGAACCGCATCCAGTATAGGCGTGAACAGTTCCTTAATACTTAAAGCCTGCAGTCTATGATCAAAATATTTGTATTGGACCAAAAGCTAAATTATGAAAACACCTTCTGTCCATCCTTGTATTTACAACAATACATACGAAAAGAAACCACACCAAAAGTTAACACTTAAACTGTGTTACCATTATAAGCCTACTTCACCAAAAAGCTAATGCTGTCTAATATTAGATGTGATCAGACAACAACCCATACACCATGCGTCGCCTTTTTCCATCGTCACATTGCATGAAGATGTCCGTCAAATTGCTATCCTTTCCCAGTTTGACAGCAACATGTAACATCTGGTCCTCAGTTAGATCTTCAGATTTTTCAAGCTCTGGTATAATACACATCCGCTGGTTGCTTCCAGCATTCTGTTGTTCAAAGAAAGCTACCAACTTGTCCATGGTATCAGTAGTTTTCTGGTAATTGTGGGAAATACGATTCATAACACCAACAACCTCTACAACTACAGGATCTGGGGTCCTTTGCCTTTTCTTTCCCTTTCGGGAATTACCAATAGAAACAGTCGGTGCTTCGACTTGCTCTTCGGTTAGAATTTCAGGCCCTGCCGCTTCGTGGCATGGTGCGGGTATGTAGTCCCCGCTAATATCTAGGTAATCATCAAATACAATTCCACTCTCATCAACAAAAGCATGGTCTCGTTCCATATGGTTCACAGATTCTTGTGGGCATTCTACATGACCTCCACTAGCCACATCCTTGCCAAATATAATTCCCAAAGCTTCATAGTGAGGGAATGGCTTGTTGTATAAACCCTTTGCGGCAGGGTGGCTCTGCACAAGTAACACATGTTCTGCATTATATATACATGGTAATGTATAAAATAGTTTTAAATAAAGAAGTGCTTTAAGTCTAAATATATCACCTTCACCCAGTCTTCGAATATTTCCTTCTCCACGTCAATAATTTTTTTTGCATTATTCCAACCAAAGCCGCTTCCACCGTTTCCTCCAATCATTTCATGTATAGCATTATATTGTTTTTTAAGCAACTTCACCCTGGAAGTGATGTGAGGAATTGACCGGAGGGAACAACCAGGTATCGTCTGGTGCATCATCTTCTCCACAGCACCTGAATACCCTATTTTAAATCCCTTGTCTCCCCTCCAACATGAGCCAAGCTCGGAAAGACATTCTATTAGGACTTTGTCCTCTTCAGCGGTCCACGTATTATTACTTCTTTTTTTTGAATGTTGGCTATCTTCTGCCATAGCGATGAATGAAGGGAAGACAGTATTTGCTGCTTATATAAAAAAAAGAGAAAGTTAGATTGATAAATATAACAGACGTGCCGAAAACTGATGCATACAATAAAGACACGGATAAAATGAATAAACATGGTGGCCAAGGCTAATTCAAAACATACACAGTGATATACTCATACATGATACGTAATACGCAGTCAAGTTCTGCAATTATACAACGAAAAGCATTGATCTCATAACAGTTTTTTTAACTTGTTATAAATTCTACATCATAACCGACAGACATAATTTATGAAAACAAAGACTAGTTAACTCGGATATCCATCTCAAGCACGACTCCTCCACGCGTTAAACATATTATGCGCCATTTCATCCCTCTGAAGCGACCATGCATTGGAAGACTCAACATGAGTAATCATATCATTTCCTCCAATCTCATCTTCACCCTGATGGATGTTCACTTCAGCAGCCTCTAAAGGATCCATTGTTATTTCTCTTCTTATGTGGTTATGAAGCAAGCAACAAGCTGTTGTAATCCTGCATTGCGTCTTAACCGGATAAAATGACTTAGATCTGACAATTGCCCACCGCCCCTTCAACATACCAAAACATCGCTCTATGACATTCCTTGCGGATGAGTGCTTCATATTAAAAAATTCTTGTGGTGTCCTTGGTTGAGGCCCATTCCTCCATTCAGTGAGATGATATCTTTGTCCTCTATACGGTGTCAGGAAACCTTCACCGTTCATGTATCCAGCATCACACAGGTAATAGTAACCTACACAGACACATTATAACATACAGTGTTAGATGCACATATTAGTTGGGAATTTCTACATAATGGACAGGTAATTAAGAAATGCAACTGCAAAATTTATTACCTTTTGGCACCTTTAACCCGTGCGGCCGCGAGATTGCATCTCGTAGAACCCTTGAATCTGCAGCTGACCCCTCCCATCCAGGCAATACGAAAATGAACTGACCATCTTGAGAACAAACACCTAACACATTTGTTGCTATGTCACCCTTCCTAGTACGGTATCTTGGCTTGTCAGCAAGCAAGGGATTTATCTTAATGTGTGTCCCGTCAAGAACGCCCAAACAATTTTGCAATTTAAAACCAAAAAAAAATTAAACCATATCAAACGTGCATGGAGATCAAATGTAAGTAAAATGTGATTTCAACTAGTCCGTAAACTATCATGTTACCTTGAACCACTTCCATCTTTCATCAGTCGAATTCTCCGCAACTGGCTCAGGCCGTTTTAGTAAAACAACATGACAACGTAACACAGCGAGTAACACATTTGAGAACTGCCTACTGATAGTTTCACCGGACCTCATGAATTGTCTTTTTATAATCCTATTCTTGACATCATGAGCCAATATGTGCAGAAATATTGCAACCATCTCTTCCACACCCATATGAGCAGTTGGTTCAAGCCTCCCAACTGTTTTGACCAACTCACACAATTTATGAAAACACCTTCTGTCCATCCTTGTATTCTCAATACAAGCAGTGTCACTTATATGAACAATTCTGAGGAAGTCAACTTCCCTAACCCTAGCCCTGCGACAATGATCCAACGTTACTCTCCTTTTGTTATTTCTCCTGCCTTGTATTTGTCGTATTAACAAAGCACACAGACTGACTAACAACATGGTCAATTGATTCAAACACTGGAAATGAGTCATGAGAACAAGAACAAAACTCAACTCCATTCCATCCCCAAAGGCCATTATCTAACAGGAAATGGACAAATTAAATCAGATAAACACAACAAACTAATCACAAACAAGTACATTCTCAAAGAGCGAAAGGTACACATTAGACAGCTATATTTTTGTGTACCATGATGAAAAATGAGTCATGATGCTAGTTCACTTCCATACTCAGCAAGTATGAGAGGCAAGTTTAAAGGTGCAAAATTGGTTTTTTTTTTTAATCTGTCTTTGTGTCTATTACAAAATTTGATGCAATTTCAAAAACATCTTAAATAATTGATGCATAATCCTTAAACTAAATCAACAACACGTGCTCGCACACTATGACTGTTACTCAGGTAAATACGTAGCATTGATGCATACTAGTAAAGGAAAGCAACATTAATTAGTAATTGGTAATTAGCAGGGCTATAGCCCTTATACTTTTGATTACTTCTAAAGCTCCTATAGAATAATTCAATCATTTATAGCAGGCTGGGGAGGGTGAATTTCATTAAGGAGAAAAAATGGATTTTCTGCTCTTTTCTTAGCGGTACCCACTAAAAATTTCTAAGACCAACACCCACCCAAGTGACAATCCTCAACAAAGCTCCAAACTTAACTATTCCAACACTTCAAGTGCAATCAGAAACAATAAGCATGACCCTTCCCATTTACACATACGATGCACAGATATAGAAAGTTAAAAAAAAGGACAAATTCTGAAATGGGAACTCAAAAATCAAGGGTTGAGCAAATAATCATTCTAGGGAAAAAAAAATTATATGTAATCAATTATTAACACCTTTGTTACAGCATGTGATGCTATTTTTTTTTTAGGTAGACCCAGGTCAAGCTATTTAAATGTACAAACTGTTTATATTTTTTTCTGTAAAATGGTCTCGTGGTCCAAGCACTTATATCACAGTGATCGAACTCCGAGGGTTTGAGAGACAGCTTAGGGACCAAATCGGTCTGCTCTTTTCAACATGGTTAGAGACAGGATTCAAAAATTTCGTTTTTCATGACAAAAAACTCAGTTGACACAGACTCTTATTTTCCACCGTTTTTAACACACCCATACTTTGTAACAAAACCATAAATTAATCATTCAAGATGCATAACAAACTGAGACTGTTATCGGAGATATGTGGACCACAGATGTCTTCAAACAAAAAACTGGAAATATGAATGCCTTTTGTCCGTCACCGTTGCTTCTTGATTTCCACTACTCTATTCCGTAAACCAAACGCGATTTCATAACATCAGTCATCAGATTATTTTAGCTGATATCTGAAGGTGAAATGTAAAGGTCAATACCTGATTGTCTTTATTCACCTACAAGAAGATTCATTTCATTAAAAACTAACACCATGCATCAAGGGAACAAAACGGAACTGGCTGAGGAAAAAAACCATCAACCCATGCTCGATTTGTTTTTTTTTCCCCTTACCTTACCTCGCAGCCCAACAAATCGTAGCTCAGTGATGCATATTTTTGGGTTTCAGATCACAAACACTAACATGGTCAACACCTGCAACTTGCATGTTACTCTCTTTCTTCCTCTGTGCAAGTTTATGTTCTGAACAACTCTCTGAGCGTTACTTTTAGGTACGACTCTTTTTTACTTTCGCGCGCAAAAGTAGGGGTGCGCTGGTAATGTCCTGATACAATGATAAAGTGATTTCGGTAGCTTCTTCACAATACCATATATCACGTGGGAAAAGGATAGCTACCTATTGGATGAAATTGATGTCAAAACACATTTACCCGGCTATCACATTTACGTAGGCATATTCAGAAAACACTCCCTCCCAAACATGGTTATCTAAGAAACACACATATCACTTACCTATCAAAATCCCCAAAATCCCTAAACCAAACACCCCCTTAGTCTTGGATGCTCCAGCACCAAGCCCACGTTTGTAGCGCGAAGTAGCAAAGAAACAATTGAGATGTTGGCGCTACCAACGCGAAGAAACAGAAACATAGTGGGGTTGGCACTTCACACACACACACATCCATACACAGACATTCACACGCGCACACACATGCCCCCCCCCACACACACACACATGCAGTTAATGCTTTCTAGCCAAATAACACAAAGTTTTTATGCTTAAGGCTTCATTTAAGAGTTAATTATTGTGATTTTAGTCTTATAAAATATGATAAACTGAGTTCAAGTTTTTGCAATTTCATAAACAATAACACTTAAATACAAAAATACAACCCCTAAATATCTCAATTAGGGACGAATTATTTTTCGTTCCTATTAGGGATGGAATTTTGTTTCGTCCCTATCAGGGACGGATTTTATAAACAATATCCTAATTCTATCCAAATTTGGGACGGACGATATTCCGTCTCTATAGGGACGGAATTAGGGACAGATTATATAAATTTACAGTATTCCGTCCCCAAGTTCGTCCCAAATAGGGACGGAATATTTTTCCATCTCAAAATCCGTCCCTATTAGAAACAGAACTTATTTCTTTGCTAATTCCGTTCCAAATAGGGACAGATTGTTTTTTGTCTCTAATTCCGTTTCAATTAGAGATGGAATATTTTTCATCCCTAAAATCCGTCCCTAATTCATATTTTTTTAGTAGTGCCATACGACAATTGACAGCGTTGATTGTATGGTTTGTCAAAATATGTTTTAATAAATCCATTTTAAACTTTTGTTGATTCAAGTGATGATCTACAATATATATTGATTATGTGGTTTGTCCACCATCAAGCATCATATGCTCATAAGGATATATGTATAGCATGCTATCTTATACCCTATGCAATTGAGAGTTAATTTTCAAAAGTTTTAAATTTAACAAAATCATAAATTTCTCTTACAAAACAATGTGGCCTTGAGTTTCCTATTACACCGAGGGATATGTCGAAGTAGGACCATTCCTGTCAAGCCCAAAAATAAATTTTCAAAAATTATTTTTCTTTTCTAATAATAAATATTATTTAATTATTTGGGGAGAAACAAATATTTAAAATTTTATCAATAATTTAAACAATTAATTTAAGGTAACCATTTTTGCAATGAACGGTGTAGGGTGCTAACACATTCCAAACTCATAATCGACTCCTGAACTCGTTTCCAATTTTTCAAAGACCACCTTCTTAAGCAAAAAAAGATTTTTCCAATATTTTCTAAATAAACCTTGGTGACGACTCCATTATTATTATTTTTTGAATTTTTAATTTTTTGTCGTCATGTCGCGATCCGATTGTGACATTTTCACTATAAATTAAGGGTGTTCGCGGTCTGGATTGGATCGGTTTTGGAAGCAAAAATCATCTGATCCAATCCTTTCGGTTTGATCATATAATCATCTATTCGGTTTTGATTTTTTTTCAAATCTGATACGATCCAATCCAATTTTTTTCGGTTTGCATTGGATTGGTTTTCGGTTTTTTGAAAATCTTAAAATTTATTTCATGATTATTGTGCAAATAACATCTTTCGTATATATTGCCTTTGTAAATTTATTTTTTTTGAAATACAAAAGCATTAATAAACTATAATATAGTTTTTTTTTTTTTGCAATGAGATATGAAGTTCTACAAAGATAAAATTTTATTGATGAGATGTGACTAGATTTTTTCTTGGGTTTAGTTGATAGGTTAATGGGTTTTGGGTTTAGATTTTTTATGCTATAATTAGGGAAAGACCCAAGTAGGTAGAGAGGAATTAATATATTGGATCGGTTTGGATTGGATCGGTTTTCATTAACTCATCCAAAAACCGATCCAATCCAATTAAAATTTGCGGTTTTTAATCGGTTTTCGGTTTTTCTTTTTTTGATTTATTCGGTTATCAGTTTTTTGGTTCGGTCACCGCGGTTTGAATCGGTTTGGATTGGTTGATGAACACCCCTACTATAAATGCAGAAAATTCAACCCAAGTAAAACCATCTATCCATAAATACTTGAATTGTATTAAACATTGAACTGACTTAAACTTTGCCTTGCATGTAACTCCCAATCTCCTCAAACCGCTCAGACATCAAGCGTTCCAGATCAACTATCTCGCTGGTAGCTTGTCATGTCGGCAAGCCCACTCATCATCAATGATTCTATTCATCAACATCATTTACCTAATAGTTATTGGACTTATCACCATTTAAACTTTAATATTAAAAAAAGTGAGACAACATGTATATCATCACTTCATCATAGCAAGGAGCAATTGAAAGAAATCCAGTAGAACGTTATCGAACATGAATTGAATACTAAAACTAAATGAATTTACTCAGGACTTTATGAAGGTATGCATGCACCTTCTTCCCGAAGAAAGAAGCAATAATTAAGTGTGTTCATCAATCGATCCAAACCGCGGTGACCGAACCAAAAAACTGATAATCGAACAAACCGAAAATCGAAAAACCGAAAACCGAAAAAAAAAACCGTAATTTTTAATTGGATTGGATCGGTTTTTGGATTGTTTAATGAAAACCGATCCAATCCAAACCGATCCAATATATTAATTCCCCTCTACTTACTTTGGTCTTTCTTCAATCATAATCCAAAAATTTCTAAACCCAAGACCCATTAACCCATCAACTAAACCCAAGAAAAAACCTAGTCACATCTTATCAACAAAATTTCATCTGCGTAGAGCTTCATATCTCATTGTCCCCCCCCCAAAAAAACTATATTATCGTTTACTGATGCTTTTGTATTTCAATTTTTTTTTACAAAGCCAATATATATATAAAAGATGTTATTTGCATGAAACAAATTTTAGGATTTTCAAAAAATTGAAAACCGATCCAATCCAAACCGAAAAAAATTGGATCGGATCGGATTTGAAAAAAAGTTCAAACCGAATGGATGATTATATGGCCAAACCGAAGGGATTGGATCGGATGATTTTTGCTTCCAAAATCGATCCAATCCAGACCGCGAACACCCCTAACAATAATGGATTTTATTTGATATTTATGTTAACGTATATTTCGATGGTTTATGTTTGCATAGTTCATGAAAGCGATTTTTTTTAATTAAAAAAGTATGATATAAAGATATAGAAATAGAGACATTAAAAACGGATCATTCGATCGGCTACTTAGCGAGTAGCGACCCCCGCAACACGCAATTTCTTGAACTTTTGATTTCTCACCTGAAATAATCCATTACAACAAAAGACAGATATAAATCTTTTCCTCTACCAATATTTATTCGTGGCCATGCCCCCCCTTACGTATCTTAAGTTCAGTAATCTAACATCTGAAATAGTTTGCTTTTCTTCATAATTATGGAGTTGGGTCTCGAGAATATACCCTCCCTTGCAATCTTATCCTTCTTTCTCTTCTTGTTCATGGTGTTAAGCATAGTTTTGAGATCAAAAACCAAGCCTTCAAACTCCAAGTTGCCACCAGGACCCCCCAAACTGCCTCTTATAGGGAACATGCACCAGCTTGGTGCAATGCCTCATCACAGCCTAGCAAAATTAGCACAGAAATATGGGCCTCTTATGCATATGAAACTTGGTGGAATTTCCACCATAGTGGTGTCTTCCCCTCAAATGGCCAAAGAAGTAATGAAGACACATGATATAATCTTTGCAAATAGGCCTCTTATTGTTGCTGCTGATGTTATAACTTATGGTTCTAAGGGCATGAGCTTTTCCTCTTATGGAAGTTATTGGAGACAGATGAGAAAGATTTGCACGTTTGAGCTACTAACTCCAAAGCGTGTTGAGTCATTTCAATCAATTAGGAAAGAGGAGGCATCAAATCTTATTAAAGAGATTAGTTTGAATGAAGGGTCACCCATCAATCTCAGTAAAACGATCAATTCATTAAGCTGTGGCTTAGCATCACGAGTAGCCTTAGGAGGCAAATCTAAAGACCAAGAAGCATTCATTGCTGTTATGAGAGATGTCATGAAAGTAATTGCTGGTTTCTCTATAGCTGACTTGTATCCTTCTATTGAAGTGCTTCAATTTTTGACAGGAATAAGATCCAAAGCTGAGAAGCTCCATCAAGAAATAGATAGGATCTTTGAGAAAATTGTCAGAGATCACAGAGACATGAGTTCAGAAACAAAGGCAATGGATGAAAAAGTAGGTGTTGATCTAGTTGATGTCCTCCTAAAGCTTCAGAAGCAGAACAACCTTGAGCATCCTCTATCTGACAGCATTATCAAAGGAACCATTTTGGTTAGTACTTTGCTATTAGAAATCACATAATTTCCAAAAACAGTTCCAAATAGATATCATCAAAGATCATTTTCAACTTTTCCTTTGTTAAAGAAAGCAAGATTCATACTTTACTCGGATTTTAAATACCAACCGTCAAACAACCATCTATTGACTTGAAAATCTTCACTTTCAAAACTCTCACATGTATATTTAAATGAAGAATTTTTTGTAGAAAGGTTAAAGTAAAATCTGTTTTTGATTCTTTAATTTGAAAGAGTTTTTCCATGGAAATTACTTAATAGGAAAATGAATTGTTTATCAAGTTAGAGTTGTCATTAGTGTTTTTCCAGAGTACACAGTTGTGTTAAAAATCTGATAGGGAGAACTTTGTTGTTTTTGTGGTTCGGTCCGAGTCGACCGTATTAGTTGATTAATTGATAAATTAGCAAAGAAATCTCCAAATAAAATACTAATGCAGTAGCAGTGCTGCAAAAATTTTGTTGGCAATTCTGTTCATGTTAGCATTTCTTTCAGGATATGTTCGCTGGTGGAAGCGGTACTTCAGCTAAAACCATAGAATGGGCAATATCAGAACTTGTCAAAAACCCAAGGGTGATGGAAAGAACACAGGATGAAATAAGAATGGTCTTTAATGGTAAAGGGCATGTAGATGAAGCTAAACTCCATGAACTGAAATACTTAAAGTCAGTAATAAAAGAAGGGAAATCATGCTCTCATGTGACATGAGAGCAAAAAAATTTCCTACACAGATTCGTTTTCCGTGCCAATTAATTTTTCTTTTCTTTTATAATATAAAATGTGGGACCCACATTTAATTTCTCTCTACTTTTTTTATCTCATGCAATCCTACAACATGAGAAAATATGAACCCATAAAAGAAACCTTGCGTCTACATAAGCCTTTTCCTTTATTAATACCAAGGGAAAGCAGTGAGAGATGTGAAATTAATGGGTATGAGATACCAGCTAAGAGTAAAGTCATTGTTAATGCTTGGGAAATTGGGAGGGACCCAAACCACTGGATTGAAGCAGAGAAGTTTAATCCAGAAAGATTCCTTGATAGTTCAGTTGATTACAAAGGTTCAGATTTTCAATTTATCCCATTTGGTGCTGGAAGAAGGATGTGTCCTGGCATTACATTTGGCATTGCTAATGTTGAACTCTTACTAGCAAATTTGCTTTTCCACTTTGATTGGAAGATGCCTAATAGGGATAAGCCTGAAGAACTTGACATGACTGAATCATTTGGCTTGACTGTTAGAAGGAAACATGATTTGTATTTGGTTCCTAGTATGTATCACTCATCTGCTAATTAAAACCACTTGATTCCTTGTATGTAACACTCCATTGTGATATGGACAAGATACTAGAGAACATGGTAAGAAGTAATTTAAAGCTTCAAAACCATAGTGATCTTCAATATCCCTTATTCATAAGTTAAATTGCACGTGCTAAAAAGTAAAGCTAAAACAAGTTGTTTAATTTACAAAAGCTAACCCTACTTCTTCCCTACATGAAATACACTTCAATCATATGCATGGAAAAAAAAATGTGGAATAGAATTGACAACCAAACTATGAGAAGCAATGATTGCATTATATTCATATTTGAATTTGTAGAGATAACGAACATTTTTTTTCTTTTTTTTTATGATCATCCAAATAGCTTGTCAAGAGGTAAAAAAAATCAACCAAATAGAAAGTATCATACTTAAAATACAAGGTTAAAAAGTGTCATATTTATCCATGACCTTCCAATAACAGAAGAAACAATTTCCAGCTCATCCTCTTTAATAAGTTAAGTTGTACATCGTCAATTAATCATTAGTAAGGAGCAGTTGAAAAAAAAATTTAATTTAGACATTATCAAATTCAAATTGAATATTGTTCCGGATGGCCCAAGGCCACGGCCCAAAACTTTATCCACGTCAGCCCTATCAGCCTGTTACCACACAGAACCCCATATAATGACCAAAATGTCTCGTATAGGGACTATAACCCCCAAAAGAGACCGCCCCAGATGCCATAAGAGGCAACTGCCATTTGCCCCATACTGACAATCGCCAGGCGCAGGGGGTGCATCACTGCGATGGTAGCAGTCCCTGCCGCCCTCAGCAGCGCCTGCCACCCTAGACGGAACCCAAAAAGGGTTGAAAACTTAAGAGGTTGCTTTGTAAATCACTCCTAATTAATACTAGAGTTCTTAAACCTTATGTAAGAACTATAAGAAGAGAGAAAAAAATATGTATTGTGTATGTTGTGCTTCTATAAGAGAGTTGTTTAAGATAGAAAATATTAGAGAAAGTCTAGTTGTATGAGAAATTGTGAGAGAGTGTACACGAGATTCTCGGGTTAGGGATAATATGAGTGTTGTATATATGTGTATTCTCTAACTTCTTATAGTGCATTTGATATCTCCGGTGGACATAACCCGGTTTTGGGGGAATCACATGAGAAGTTTTGTCTCTTTATTTACTCTAGTTTACAACGTTATAATTATTTGAGTTCGCAAAAATATTCACAATAACCCGATTTTTCCCGACAACTGGTATCAGAGCCAAAGTGACGTGAATAGAGGTGGCCCGGTTGCAAATTGGAGTAGTAGCCGCGCTCGGTTCAACAATTTGGTTCCGGACATTATGGCTAAAATTAGTGGAGCGAGAGTTACGAAGGTTTTACGGTAAGATCAGCTTTAACTTGTGGCAAGTGCGCACAATGGCGGTTCTGACACATCAAGGTCTGAAAAAGGCTTTGTTTGGTAAAAGAATGTTGGAATAGAAGATTCTATATGTTGTTATGATTTGCTGTGATATGTTGTAACCTGTAGTTTGTTAGGATATGTATAACTGAGTCCTATTGTAATTAGGTGTAGTTACTTATCTTTAGGAAGTTGTTTTACTATTTGGTAACAGACTGTTTGGTAACAGCCGTAACAGCCTATTCTATTTAAGATACATTGATGTACAGTTTTAAATCAATGGAAATACTATCAATTGATACCATTTATCATGGTATCAGAGCGATCCCTTGTTAAAAAAAAAAAACTTCCGCAACGTGTAGACTCTGAAAACAGTGAGCAGGAGATAGCTTCTGTTGAAGATGGCCAATGAAAACAGCAGCAGGTTGAAGCCATCAGACCCTGGATCACCATTCTATCTGACTGGATCAGATAGCCCAGGGATTCTTTTAACAACCGTTATGCTGAGAGGAGAAGCCAACTATGAGAATTGGGAAAAACTCATGAAAAATGCCCTCAAAGCGAAAAATAAAATAGGATTCATAGATGGATCCGTTAAGAAACCAGAAAAGGCGAAGGCAGAAGAGTGGCGCGCCTGGGAGATGTGCAATTCTATGATCAATGGCTGGATACACAATACCATTGATCAGAAATTACAACCGTTTATTAAATGCTTTGATGAGGTAAAAGACCTCTGGGATGACTTAAAGGAAAGGTATGCTGTGGAGAATTTTACACGACAATACCAGCTCAAGGCCAGTTTGGCCAACATCAGGCAGCAAGGCAGTAGCATTGGAGACTACTATATGCAGTTGAGAGCGGTCTGGGATGAGCTTGCGAGCAGCAAAACTTACAGGTCTTGTACATGTGGAGAAGACTGTGTCTATGCAAAGGAGATCGAAGAAGAAAGAGAACATGATCAGGTATACACATTTCTTATGGGTCTGGAGGACTCGACATATGGCAACTTGCGTTCACAAATTCTCAATCAATCACCGCTCCCAACGATGAATAAAGTTTATGCTATCACGACCCAGGAAGAAACTCATAGATCTATAACACGCAATCAGAATGCTCGAGCTAATGAAATTGGCTACGCAACGCAGACAGCAGCACCAGTAAAAGACAAGTTTGTTGAACGTCCTCCATGCATTCACTGCGGGAAAACTAATCATGAAGCCTCTCGATGCTGGCAAGCATTTGGCTATCCTGGACGTGGTGGTAGCAGAGGACGAGGACCTGGACGTTTCGGTGGTGATAGGAGCAGTAACCCACAAGGAGGATTCCATGCAAAGCCATTTGGTGCACACGCAGCTCAAACGGAGGAACCACTAGAGCAAGCAAATGCATTCGCCGTTCTGACACCTGACGTGGTGACACAATTGTTATCATTGGTTGACAACCCGCAACGCTCAAAGGACAAATTAAATGGTAAAGATTCCCATTGTCACTGGCTTATAGATAGTGGTGCATCACGCCACATGGCAGGGGTATTGGAATTGCTGGAGAATGTTACAGATGTTGAACCTTTGGCAATCGGTTTACCCAATGGAGCTATTACTTATGCTGTGCAACAAGGATCTGTTTCGTTTACTCCTTCTTTTTCATTATCCAATGTCTTATTTGTGCCAAATTTAAAGTGTAACTTGATATTTGTATCTCAGTTGGTACGACAACATAATGTTGATGTGGTATTCACTAATAATAGTTGTGTTTTGCAGGACCGCAAGCTGAGGACGGAGATTGGATTGGGTGATCACAGGGATGGTGTGTATGTGTTTCGACCAAGCCAAGCAGCAGCTTTAACAGTTCGCTCCAGTGATACGCAAGAACTTTGGCACAAGCGGTTGGGCCATGCATCATCCGAAGCACTTTCTCTGATTCCTTTTTCTAGTAGCATTCGATTTGGCAATGTAAACAATAAGGCATGCGATATTTGTTATCGTGCCAAACAAAATCGATCCTCGTTTCCCATTAGTGATCGAAAGAGTAATAAAATTTTTGATCTTCTTCATTGTGATACATGGGGTCCTTACCGCACTTCCTCTTTCTCTGGTGCTTATTATTTTTTAACGATAGTCGATGACTTCAGTCGTGCTATTTGGGTTTGTTTGATGGGTGACAAAAGTGAAACTTTTGGTGTGTTACGAAAATTTCTTTTAATGGTGCAAAATCAGTTTAATACAACAGTTAAGAGTATTAGATCAGATAATGGAACTGAATTTACTTCCAACAAGATGATTGAATTATTCACTGCCAATGGTATATTTCATCAGAAATCCTGTGTTCATACGCCGCAACAGAACGGTCGGGTAGAACGGAAGCATAGGCATATTCTAAATGTGTCTCGTGCTCTTTTGTTTCAAGCAAACTTGCCAATCAAATTCTGGGGAGAGAGTGTGATGACAGCAGCTCATATTATTAATAGAACTCCCACAAAGCTTCTCAATGGCAAAACTCCTTATGAGCTTTTGCATGGATCTGTTGCTGATTACAGTCACTTAAGGATATTTGGCTGCCTATGTTATGCGGTGACACAACCAAAACCTACAAACAAATTTAGTCCACGGTCTAGGCGGTGTATGTTTGTTGGTTATCCTCATGGGCAGAAAGGTTGGAGAGTGTATGATCTTAATACTAAGGAATTCTTTGTGTCACGAGATGTCAGTTTCCACGAAGATGAGTTTCCTTTTGTTGCTATAAGTGTGCCTACACCTAGCCCATCATTACCTACATTTATACCAATAGATTCTAATGATTCTGCCAATCCAGTATCTCAATCAACTTCAAATGATTGTGAGGCAGAAGTGAAGTTGGAAGATAGGGGGAGTGTCCATCAGTCTGAAAGGGAGCCGAATGAAGATTCTACATCAAATGTTGATCAAGTGCAAAGGAGTGAGGATCCAGCTCCTGCTCTCGTACAAAGGAATGAAGATTCAGCTCACGAACTTGTGCAAAGAAGTGCAGAATCAGCTCAAAACGATTCTCTTCGTCCAGCACGCACACGAAGGCCTCCGTCCTATTTGAGTAACTACGAATGTAATCTGATTGAGGCACATACATACACTCCCAGTCTCACCTCTTCTAGCTCCACCTCAGGTATACGGTATCCAATTGCCAACTATGTGAATACTAACAATTTTTCTTCAAAACATCGAGTTTTTGTTGCTGCTATTGATGCAAGTGAACCTCGGTCATTTAAAGAAGCAATGACCAATGATGTTTGGCGTAAAGCTATGGCTCAGGAGATACATGCACTAGAAGAAAATAATACGTGGACTATCACTGATTTACCTGCAGGCAAACATGCCCTTCCATGTAAATGGGTATATAAAATTAAATATCATTCCAATGGTAGCATCGAGCGCTACAAAGCAAGGTTGGTAATTGCAGGTAATCATCAAGTTCCAGGAGAAGATTTCCATGAAACTTACGCTCCTGTAGCGAAAATGGTGAGTGTTAGAACTCTACTCTCGGTTGCAGCTGCAAAAGGTTGGTACTTGCACCAAATGGATGTTCATAATGCGTTTCTTAATGGAGAACTGGACGAAGAAGTGTATATGCGCATACCGGCAGGCTT